ATAACAGCAGCCATCTATCATCGCCACAACCACCACCATCATCATAATTATTAAGTTTAGAAATAATTTTATGTTCATTAAAGAAGCTTGATCTAATATAGCCTCGAATGGGGACCAATCAGATGTCTTTTAAGTATCTCTTTCTCTCTATCACATATCTTCCCCTTATGTATTAAATGCAAAAGAGCAGTGGTTTGCATGTCAATGCTTGTGTCTTTATATTGGCATCATTACAGTTAGGATCAGTGATTAGTAATACCAATGACACTGAAACAACATCTGAAGAGGGTTTTCCCCCCTTAAATCTAGAACTAGGGTTGAATGAATATATCCATTTAGCTATTTTTTTTCTATTTAATTATATGATCCGTTCCAGAGACAACATCTGTATTACATTGACTGAAGGTTTACAAATAACCCCCTCACATTACATTTAAAAATGTAAAAGACAGATGAAAAAATGAGGGAAACAAGACTTATATTCAAGCCATGTCATAGCATGTTGTGATTTTAATATTCTAGTAGTATTCTCAATATAGACTGTGGGATTTCCCCTAAGATTCTTATTGTTGTTTTTTTAGTGCAATTCTATATTTTTCTACAATATTTTCTCATTTTCTCTTTGCATTTTATTTACACATTATAGTAGATATTGTAGCTACTATTTAGATTTAGACCATATCACCCTATAATAATTTGTGGAAATTATAATATTTATTTTGGTGTTCAGCTTGAACTTTGACAATTGCATTAAATAAGCAATAAAGAAATACTATCTCTCAATGTATGTTTTTTTTTACACAAAGTTCAGTTTCAATACAGTGTTGCAGTTTAAGAATTAGAGTTCAGAAGATGGAAGCTATACAGATATATTGTTTTAATCCATAATTCTTAGATATGTTTGTAAACAAACACTCTTTTGGCAGGTTACACTTTGTCAAAGGTATGCATATATTATATTTTGACCATTATTTTTATTATGTTTTCTCCTGTGTACTTTTCTTTCACTGGTAAATTACATCATGAGATTTCAATAAATGAAAATTTTAAAGAACTATATTCTGCTTTGCATTCTCATTTGTAATAATGCATTGTTGGAGTAGTTTTCAAAAGGATGGTTCAATTTAGCTGGTTAAACTATTGGAAGGTAAAAAAAAACCTTTATGACATCCCCGCTACTCAGGACACACATCAACCCTTCCCCAACTGAGATATAAGTTTTCTCAAGTTCTATTTGTCATCCAAGGCAGATCCACTTGTAAATCTCTCATGCTTTCCTTACTTCACTACTGCTGATAAATCATGTCACTTTCATCTTGGTGGCTCAACATCAAACCTTCACTCTTCTATTATCTATTGATATCATGTTTCTCATCTACCACATCACTGCAAAGACTTTGATTGGTCCTTCTTCACTGACAACTCTTCTCCCTAGCATCTCTAGACTGTTGCATAAGCAGTGCACAATTTTTTTTTTAAAAAAAAAACTTGTTTTAATGTCCAGTCAACTGCTTATTTAAGATCTCAATGCATTTATTCTTGCATTTAGAATAAATATGAATATACACATACACATATACTAGTGCCAATTTTCCACATCATAACCAAATTGCTCGTTTCATGAATAGTCAAAGTTGCATGCTCAAACTAAAAGGAATGCCTTTATCATTTCTCTATGGCAGGGTCCCCAATCCCCGGCCCATGGACCAGCATCAGTCTGCGGCATGCCAGCAACAGGGCCATGCAAACAAGCGAAGCCTCATCCGTGGGATGCAGGCAGCATTCAAAGCCACACCTCCTTCAGTCCATGGAAAAACCTTTCTCCACAGAACCAGTCCCTAGGGTTGCGGGCCACTGATCTATGGTATGGATAATACCATTATCTTCTCTATCCTCTGTCATTGCCTGGTTGAGCTTTAATTGCTGCAAGAACATTCTTTTCTCCATTTACACATAACTATTATATGTGCTCATATTTCATACTCCAGGGTCCAGTGGTATTGTTTCTTAACTCCATCAGTCCCAGAAATCCATTTTTCAATGTATCCATTCATGTACTATCCCATTACTGTGAACCCTATCCACTACTTTCCAGTTAGTGTCAACTACTCAGTCTTATATGCTATTACAAAAGGGTTTCAATAGAGGTTGTGCACTTTTGTCATGTTTTTGACACTTTCCAGAGGGTGACTGTCTTCTCACTCTAGGCTTCTCGTGGACCACAGCCAATGAGGCTGATGTGCATTGGTAGGCCAAGGAAATCAAGCTCCTCTTGTGGTTGGTCCTGAAGTCAGACCGAAAGGCATTGCACATTACCAGCAACCAGCAACTCTCTTTATAGGTGAAGGGTAGGCAACCTTGGCTCTTTTATGACTCGTGGACTTCAACTCCCAGAATTCCTGAGCAGCACATGCTGGTTGAGGAATTCTGGGAGTTGAAGTCCACCAGTCATAAAAGAGCCAAAGTTGCCTATTCCTATTCTAGGTGAATATTGGCGCATTGGGCTTGATCTCAAAAGGGAAACCTTTGAACAGATACCTCTGCAACTCTAGATGAATTTTACAAGGCTACAGACTATGCAATTTTGGAGGAGAGGAAGCTACAACTCATACACTAACCCTCAAGGTATTGTGTGAAGGGGAGAGAAGGGCAGCTGACAAAAGACTAGACAGTCATCGACTTACAACAGTTCATTTAGTGACCATTCAAAGTTACAACAGCACTGAAAAAAGTGACTTATCACTGTCTTTCACCCTTATGACCATTGTAGGTTCCCTGGGGTCATGTGATCCCTTTTGTGGCCTTCTGACAAGTGAAGTCAATGGGGAAGGCAGATTCACTTAACCATGTCACTAACTTAACAACTACAATGATTCACTTAATAATTGTGGCAAGAAAGGTCGTAAAATGGGGCACTTAACAAATGTTTCACTTAGCTTGAGGTGGGAAAAAATGATATCATGATTTTGGGTTTTATTGATTAGACTGATTTGCCAATACAGAAATGGCTGGTGCATACTAGTATAGAAATGTAAAAAGTTGAGATTTGATTTTAATGTCTGATTTTACTGCAACAGAGAGTCGGAAGTCAATGCCTTTTGTTCCCCCCCCTTTTTCTTCACACCTTTTTTGTTTTCCCTTTTTCTACTGTTGCCCCCTACTTTTTTATTTTCACATGTTGTGTTATAAATGAATAAAACTAAATAAAATCGTAAAATAAATGTTTCACTTAGCAACAGAAATTTTGGGTTCCATTGTGGTCGTACGTTGAGAACTATCTGTACATTGTTGCTTCTCCATTTCTGTGATAATAGCCAACTGCCATCTATGAGGAAATTTTGCCCACCTTCTGTTCCACAGTGCAAGCAGCTCTACTTTTCTTTACAGTCATGTCTCCACTCAAAGATTTTACCCCATAGACTGATTTGTGATTGATATGAGAGCTGATGTTCTCCAGATTAAACCCCAGATTCTCCCAGTGTGCTTTTTTAAAAAAAAAAAAAAATCTAAGCCAAGGGTAGGGCACAACAACAACTAGGTGCCTGAAGCTGAAACCAAGATAAGAGGGCTAAAAAGGAGGATCCAAAGCAAACAGATGAGAAAAGCTCCAAAGATGCAAGTATGGGTAAGGGGTAAGGGCACCCTAAGTTTTGGTGTTTCACAGAAGCAATGAATAGTTGGCTATGTGTCATTTGCCCTTTTTCCAAAAAGAGAACAAAAAGATGTCCAAAACATGAACTTCCCTGACAGGAAGAGCTCCACTTGACTGTACAGCCATGGGAAGGCCAAGGAGCAGACAGAGTAGCAAAGGACCAGTACCATGGCATAGCCAATGGGAGACATACAAGAAGTGCCATTTTTTAAGATACCTTCCCTACACTCATCAACACAGGGCCCGTTGCCCCCATACAGTGACTTAAAACATGAAGGGCGGAAACATCACTTTGCTTTGCAGCACAAAAACCCATCTTATGAAGGATTCTGCAGTGGAATATTTGCAGAAGTTTGTTGAACCTGGACTCTGAAAATGAAGGATAAGGCATGCTTGCAGTGGAGCAAGGCATTGTGTGGTTTAGTCTAGGTTCCAAATCCAAAATGAAATCCTTCCAAAGTACAAAACAGAAGTAAACTGACCTATCAAAAGAAATGTCCAGTTAAATTGTACCTTTGGCCCACTTGTCTGCTATTTGTATTTGATCTGAAGATGACATTGAGAGAAGGAAAGCCATGAGGTATCCCCCAGATCTTTTGCATACAGTGTCACAAACCCTTTACATTGATTAATTCCTGCCAACAGCAATGAATGGGTTATTTAAATCCCAGACATCTAGAAGTTACAGAGCCCAGGTTTGAGAACTACCAAGAAACGTTTTGAACACGTATATCCCCATCCAACTCCCCCAGAACACAAAGGCACGTGCATACATACAATGTGAGAATTTCAGAAATCAGTGAAGGGAACTGTGTGTGAAATTCTCTGCAATTCACACACTCCGGATGTAACGCCCAGACCATACTGAGCTGTGCCTTAAGAAATTGCTCCCCTGAGGACCCCTCAGAGGCCCCCGAAAACATGAACAAGCTGTTCGCTTTCTGGCGGGGGAGGGGGCGGCTTTGGAGAGCCAGGCATTTTATCAAAGGAGGAAAGCGCTGCCTCCGTCGGATAAACGCAAAAGAACACTGAAACTTCAGTTTTCCCACCGGTCGAAGAACGGAAAACTTTGCAAAGGACCACTTCGAGAACCGAGGGACTCGTTCCCGATTTCCTTGATCTCCTCCTTCTGCGTTCTGAAGAGACAGGGAAGCGGCAGGGAAGCGCGGTGCTGGATACCTTGGCTTCAGGCGCCGAGCAGGCGAAGCTGAGGCACACGCCCGTCCGTCGACGCAGCGATTTCATTACTGGAGCCTGGACTCCGGGGGCGGGGCAGGGGATCGTGGAGGTTGGAAGGCAGGTTGAATCACGCGCTGGGAAGGGCAGCGGGGTGGGGGAAGAAAGCGAGATGGACAGAAGGGGGTCTCCCAGGAGGGAATGGGGCGGGTGGAGTGAGCTAGATGGGAAACAAGCGGGGCAACGTCCCTTGCTATAAATCCAGAACTAACACCGGACAAGTCCAAGCCTCATGACACTCCCTTCGAGTTACCCAGGGGAGTGGGTTGAGTTGAGCCTCCGCCTCCTAGCAATAGTAGCACCAGCAAGCTCAGAAGGCGAAGAGAAGGACTTGTAGAGGACAGAGAGACTGCACTAAACGAGAAGAAGGAAAGTTCCACCGGTCCGTAGGTGTACCACCGCGGCCACCTCCGCCCAGCGAGACACGCGCGGAGGCTCTCCTGTAAGTTTCTTTCCCCTCCACTCTTTTAGCGCAACTTCAACTTTCTTAATACCCACGCATTTGGTTTTTCTTTCCCCGGGCCCACATCTGTAGGATCAGGTCAGGTGGAAAGATCTGAGTAGCTATGACTTGAGGGATACTGAGGCCGCAGCAGCTTTAAGCGTAGGCTGCTCCTATGAGGCGCAGACGCGGTAGTAATACTAGGAGTTGGGTATTATTTCCTCCTCTCTATTCTTTGCTTTAAAAATCAGACAGTTGCAATCAAAATCCAGCAACTTGATTTCTGAATTTCATAGTACTTGGCTAAACTTGACTATTGCATCATAACTCTGGGATACTTAACCCCTTTTATTAAAATCTATAGAATTTGGAGATATTTAACTTGCTGAGATATTTAAAGATATTTAAATTGTTTCTATGATAAAGTATTGCAATTAAGATTTATTATTATTTACACTACTACGCATATAGCTCTTTTTCTGATGAAGCACAATACAAAATATGTCTGTTTCGAGTTGCATATATACATTATATAAACATTTTCTGGGAAGTTGTACACTCTATTCAGAAAACTTTGAAAGTGGAATTGCATTCACAATAACAACTGGGCCCCTCAGTGAAGAGAACTGTGCTGTTCCAAGGCTAGTTCCTTGAAACAATGCCACAGAAACAATGCTGCGTGCAAATGATAAACAGTCTGTACACTTCTGGCCTCATCATATGAATTCTCTTGTATCTCTTTTCAGCACCTCCAAACTATCACTTAACAGTGCAGACTACTAGCCCATTACTGTAGAAGTGCAAATTTTCCAACTTATCACAGCATCTAATGAAAGAAGCGATAGTCTCGCTTGGATCAAGAAAATAAACAATTGTGTTTAGGATCTGTTCTCTTCTGGACATTGAAATAATTTCATGCCCATATTGTTTCTTAACAATTGTTGAGTTTTTCTAGATTATCTCCCACAAGATGTTTATAAAATATTGATTTCTGGGGGTTTCAGTGCATTAGGTCTGTACATTGGCTCTTTTCAGTTAAATGCTGGAGTGGGAAGCTCTATTGATTTGGTTGGTTTGGTTAAAGTCCACTGAATTTAGTGGCATTTAAATAGCCAAACTATGTAGAGGATCACAATCACATGTTCAGTTAGGAAACTCCTTGCATTCTATGACCTTCAGTACTTTGTCTTGTCCCCTGATTATTATCAAAGTCTGATGTAAATAAAAGTCCAGCATTTAACTAATAGGAATGTGTACTTTAATGTACTTTGCACTTGGAAAGCTCCATGGATATGTTTAATTTAGTTACCCGTTACTATTTTTGACTTCCAAACCAATCCATTTTATCCACATTTGACTGCTTGGTATGTGTACCCTGTATTGTAGAACACAGAAGTTGGTTTATGTGGGCAAAGTGAGGAATGATTTCTTAACACTCCAATCTTGCTAAGTGAATTGGAATTGGTAGTCTTAATAGACTACAAAGGACAAAAGAATCTGTCATTTATTGCAAGTGTAGGTCAGAATTTAAAAATATGTAAAATTCTGATTAAGAAAAACTGAGGATTATACTAATCTTTGGTCCCTCAACATAGAAGTGGCAATATTTGAGACCAGGTGGAAGAAAAACAACTCTGTGTGTCAAACATTACCAGTATGGGGCCTGTCTTAGGTGGACACTTCCATTACCATGCAAAAGTAAAGGGTGAATCATGCTACATAAAGTCTGCCTAATACTGATTTTTTGCCATGTGTAAAACAGCCAGAATAAACATTACTTGATTTAGGATATATACAGATAAACATGCATGAAAGATTAGACACCAACTCTGTCTGTCTCTCTGCTTTTAAGCTGAAATTAGTGCTATTACTTGAAAAGACTTAGCAAGATTTGTTCCATGACCTTTGATGCATAATTATGGAAGACAGTAGAAGAAGTAACTGACATATGAAAAGGGAGAAAAATGCTTGGGAAACATAGACAGAGAAAATGGTGGGAATTTCCCAAATGGAATGTTGATCACTTTTTCATCTGTGAAAAGTATGTGTGTGAACACAGGAATCTAGATAGGAAAAAGGTTGGATATGATTATAAGGGGCAATACCAGAGACCTCTTAGCTTTCATAATGTACAAAAAAAACTTCAAATAAGAACCAAAGAACAACTCTGGCATGTAAAGAGACCAGCTAAGAAAGAAGGAAAGTAAGTGAGAAATAAAGGCAGTGAACCAGTTCTTACCTCTTGCAATTTGTGTGGATACAAAGCAAACTTGATTTATTTTGATATTTCTTAAGGAGTCATTAGTTAGTGGAAGTAGATGGCTCATAAACACAGTTTTTGCATATTAACTATTTTCCTAAACCTAGTTATCTCCCAGGTAGGATTTTCAAGGATTTCCTCCAAGACTATGGCTTTTAGGCTCACTAGCTTTGTTATTACCCTATAGTTACAGTTATTATCCTTATAAATCCTAATAGGATACATTTTTCTCCATTGGTTTCTTCCCTCTTCCGTTGGTTAAATTTCCACCAATTTTTCTTCTAATTTCTTTATAACTGTAGCATTGTTCACTTAATAATACTATTTTACATCACTTTCTGGGCAACCAGTCAACTCTTTGCACCATTACTTTAATTTTATTACGTTTTACAAGCTCACTAAATGAAAGAACACAAAAAACCCCAACCAACTTGATAGCGATCACATAACACATTGACAAATGTCCTCCTCTCAGCTTCAATACATGACATCAATAACTGAATCCTACTGTGATTTGATTGGCTCATTGCCAAAACAAGATGTCACCTGATTGGCTCTCTAAGCATTCATGCTCATTGGTTACAATCAGATAAAGGAAAGCTACCTGATATCAACCTAAGCAAATTGTGCTTCCTTTTTCTGGTTATTTGGCTATAACTTTTCATAAACTACAGTGCAGATAATTGAACCAATTTTGTTGCATTAAATTATCTTTCCATTGATATATAATTTTATGATACTACTCAGGGCTTTTTTTTTTGTCATAGAACGCCCAGAACGGAGTTCCGGTACCTTTTTTGTATGGAACCTTATAGGGTACGCAAGGCGGGTTGTATGACATGTGTGAGTTCCAGCACATTTTTTTTTTTTTAGAAACAGCACTGGTACTACTTCCCCAAAAAAGTGTTATTAATCATCAAACCTCAAAAATACACTTTTCCCAAAAGGTTTCCACAATTTTGACCACTACTGTAATTAGAATTTTTATCACAACAGTCATGGATAAAATTTTAACTGTCAGAATAAGGTATATGTCTGTTACTCAGAGCAAAAAATGCACTGGAAAAATGCTCGTGATCCAAATGCATGTAGAAATTTATCTGGGCTTCAGAAATTCAATAAATCAGAATGGTTAATGATAGGTTTTATTATGGGGAAGAGAAGATCAGTAGTAGAACACATGGTTTTTATGTAAAAAGTAAATAAACTTTGCAGTGGTTGGGTAAGACCTCTGTTTAAGAATTGCTCCGGGTGAAGTATACAAACTTGAGTTAGTAATCTGTATGATTTCATAAACTGGCTTCTTAAAGAACTATAGGGATGAGATCAATGTCAAGCAAGACAGAATCAACATCGAGCCTTGTTGATTGATCAGGTAGAATAAGATAATTGAAAAGATCTCTACCCAAGATTTATGAAACTGATGCACATTCAGTAGTATTTTATTATCTCTTTAGACAATATTGGTCTACACAACAGGCTTGCCTCATCTACCCTAAAAATCTTGATTCCAAGATAGATAGACATACAGACATGATGGAGAGGGAGATGATGGAGATGGATATAGATAGAGACAGATAGAGATTTCCATGCCTTTTAAACTTTTATACTGTTTTATACTGGATTATTTTTTTTCCACTTAGTTTTAGGCTGACTTGTTATTGCAAAGTTCATTTCATTGCCCTGTGTTTAAAACTAGTGTGCAGATTTTATAGAGGCATTACTATGAATTTGTTTATTCTACAGCTCTTCCTGACAGCTGAGCTAAAGTGCTACCCACCTGTCCTTGAGTTTTTAGAAAACTATAACTTGCTGTGTATATTGACAATCCTATTCTGCCAGAGGCATGATGCCAATAAATAGTGCTGTTTTATTTAAGGTATGGTGCACATTAATGACAGAGATTGGTGGACTCCCCAGCTATGTTTTCATCCATTCACATCAAATGTTTCTTTCCAATAGAAAAATAACCATTATATAATATGGATTGGTGTTGGGGAGTAGACAAGTTTTGAAGACGGCTATACCAGCACTTTTAGCTGTCTGTCACCATTTATTATGGTTGGTGCAAGTGTTTTGTGTGAGTACAGTCGACTATGAGTTTATAACTGAATTCCTATAAAGAGGGTTAGGCTATTCTGGAACAATACTAAACTCATGTCTAAAAGAGGCCTGAAAATCTACTGCAAAGCAATTTGTTATAACAGAAATGCTTGTTGGGCTCTTTTTAGATACAGCTTAGTAGAATTCTAGAAGAGTGCTAAATCTTTGTTCAAAAACTGGTGCTGGGAAAAATTGCACTGAGAAGCAGCAGAGAGATGACCATCTTATTTCTTCCAGCTTTAAAATACAGCCTCTTTTCATTCCCACAGCTGCTTTGGGGTGATTTACAGTAGTGATTCTAGACACATCACTAGAAGCTAAAATCATAAAACTATGTCTGATTTACTTTGGCCATGTCTTGCTTGCAAATTCATTGAAGAAGTCAGTGATGCTAGGAATGGCTAGTGGAACAAGAAGGGGTTAGCAAAAAACACGCTGGCTTGATAACGTCAAATCTGATACAAAGATGAGCATGCAACAACTGAAAGTCAGTCAGACATGATTGAATGGTTAAAACAACAGCAACAACTAATCAATATTATCTAAGTTTTTTTAAAAAAACCTCACTTTTTTGGTAATTCTCACATAATTTACTTAAAAATAAAAGAAGAATGTTTTGTTGGTGGGCTTCAGTAAG